TCAATCAAGTATTAACTAATGTAACTATTAAAATTTGTACTACTTCATCTAACTTAAAATTTCTACTATACAATTCTCTACTTATAGATCCTATTAAGATTTATTTATGCAATATTATGTTATACTTTCAATATTTAATTGATATTAGTACAATTTGATTTACAAAGTTACAATTTCTAGAAATAGATAGAGTTTACTATAAATTAAATACAAAGATCTGAGTAATTATTCAAATTTATCAACAGTAGAATTAGAACTCCAGACCTCTTATATAGCAGTTTAGCAATTTATCTACTATACTAAAATTACTAGACTTTAATATTTATTATTTAAAATCAATCTCAAATATTATTTTAATAGTTAGCCTGTATTATAAAAGTAGAAAATAGTAGCTAATATAAAACTATATAAATAAACTATTTATAGTTAATATTTTTAAATTTAAAATTAGATTTTGAATTTACTCTAATTATAATACATAAGCAAATATCATTTTTGCTCAAATCTTTAATAATCAGTAATTATTAATTCATCAATCTAATAAAAAATTCTATAAAAAAACTAAAAAATCAAATGAACGTATGTGAAAATTTATATCTGGCTACTAATATTTATACTAAAAAATTATTCTTTTACTATTATTTATTATAACATCTATAAATTAATGCAGTTTCAGATTTTATTTTTATTTATTATATAGTACTAGTTTATATTAATATTGAGACATAATAGATGCTCATATATACAAACACAGGTGCAATAGTCAAGTCACTAGTATAAGGTGTAAAATAGCATGTGAAAAATAGACAATACATAACAATACATAATAAACAGAGTCATGTGAACTAATTAAGTGCTGTGAATTGTACACGCATATTAAATTGCTTGTAAACTATACACTATATACTTCATATTCTATTTCTAATAAAAAGAAACTATTAAATTTGATTATTGATATATTATGTGATTAAAATAATAAAGCATAAAATAATTAATAAAATTACTAAATTAGAATATTTTTTGTAATAAAATTATACAATTTTGTCATTATTAGAGTTTTAGTTTGTATAAAGGCTGTGTGAGGCTCAAGTGATAGCATGAAGCCTCTAACAGATTAAGCCTTTTAAGATCTTAAAATATATAAAAGCACAGGCTGTCTCATTTTAATAAAGAAAAGAGGAGTTAATGTCCTTCTTGATAAAGTAACATAAAACATTGATCTGTTTTTTCTTTATTCCCAACTATTATTAATGCTTGAATCCTACCTAGTTAAGTGAGATATCATCGCGTTCTAACAATGTTAACTATTGAAGCTAAACCGTGCACTATTACTCACTCTCCTAATTTATAATAGTAACATTTGGTGCCAGTTGTATGAATAGATGAATAGATAGATATTTCATCTTATGCTTTTATCACTGTTAAAGACTCAAAGTGATGAATATTTACCATAACTTCAGAAAAATAATGAAAGATCCTGAAATTACAAGACAAACGCTCATCTAATTGATACTAACCCAATACTTCTGATTGATGCATCTACTAAAAAAAAAAAAAAAAAAAAAAATTACTTAATCCAGAGACAGTTGGCAGTTACTTGTCTTGCTTGGAAGTAGCCACTTCATATCTAAGCCCAAAGAAAAATTTGAGTTTAGAATGTAAAAGCTCTACTTATATATCTAAGCCAAATCTAAGCTGAGTTTAAACCAAATCCAAGCTGAGTTTAAGCCAAATCCAAGTCAAGTCCAAGCTGAATCTAAGGCAGTTCAAGCCAACAAATAAATACTGAGCCCAAGACTACGCCTCAGAATAAAGAAACCAAGAGTGCTGCTGATATTACGATTGATGCCTAAGATCTGATGAGCATGTGATGAAGACTTATTCCTATAGACATGACAATAGTTAAAGGATGGTCATGACAGTTATATGCGGGTGCAAAGCATATAACATAAAGATCTCTAACATTTGGTCTTGCTTTTGTCATTGGCCAAGAAGTAAGGATGACAAATTAAATTAGTAGAATGTTAGAAAAGGTCAGTCTTATTTGAGTCGAGTTGATTTTGAAATTCTAATTTAAAGTGAGTTTGGGATGATATGAGATATTCTCATGACTAGCAATACACAGATATGCTGACGATTAGGCAGTGATTGCAGTATGAGATACTGAGTCTATAAATTTGTTATAAATTAGAATGATATTGATATTTTGTTTAAATAAGTAGTTATTTTCTTGAGTTGTATTTTTTTTAATTCATAATACTTAGTTTAAGGCTCACAGGGGCTCACCTTCAAGAGGAAGAATTTGTTAGAGTTTTAGTTTGTGTAAAGGCTATATGAGGCTCAAGTGATAGCACAAAGCCTCTAACAGATCAAGCCTCTTAAGATCTTAAAATGTATAAAAGCACAGGCTGTCTTATTTTAATAAAGAAGAGAGGAGTTAATGTCCTTCTTGATAAAGTAACATAAAACATTGATCTGTCTTTCTTTTATTCCCAACTATCATTAATGCTTGAATCCTATTTGGTTAAGTGAGATGTCATCACATCCTAACCATGTTAACTATTGGAGCTAAACCATGCACTGTTACTCACTCTCCCAATTTACAATAGTAATATTATATAAAAGGAATTTTAAAAATTAAATGTAAATAGTAATTTAAAATAGTCTATATAAATATTGAGCATTATAAATTTACTTCACTAGTTGAAAAGGTAAAATTCAACCTCTGATTTGTGGTTAAATTTTCATATTTTTGGTCGAATTCAGGTCGAAATAGCTAAAAAATCAACCTATATTCAACCTAAAAATACTAATTAGCATAAAATCAGTATCTAATTTTAGGTTGAATTGTTTATTTAGGTTGGATTTAAAATTAACAATTCAACCTAAAATTGGATACTAATTTTAAGCTGATTAGTATTTTTAAGTCAAATATAGGTCGAATATAGGTTGATTTTTTTGGCTGATTCGACCTAAATTTAACCAAAAATTTAAAAATTCAACCTCAAATCAAAGGTTGAATTTCATCTTTTCAATTAGTATTACCTGAACAGAGAAAACACATGCTAGTAATACCATATGATCCTTTAAATTATATAAAAATTTATAAGAATAGATAATATGATCAATTGTTTTCATATAATAAATTTCATTCGTGAGATTTTAATCTCATAAAAGAAGTTTAAAATTTAAAATAACCTCTCAATTACCTATTTTTGCATTTATAAAGAATATTTTTCTTAGTTCTTTATATAGTTTTAACATTAATCTTATTAATATTAAAAATAAATTACAATCTTCTTTTTTCTATAATAGATTGTCAATTCTAAATAGAATTACAATATTTAAATCATATGTATGTCTGAAGTATTCTACTTCATAATCAAAAATAAGATCTAATTCTCATCCAATTAAAAAAATCAACTTAGTACCAAGTTGATTCTATCGGGTTTTGAGAAGTAATTACTATATTAACTTTTTTAGATAGACGAGGATTAGATCTTATTTTTGGCTATGGAGTCCTAAAGCTTTAATGAAACTTTCTATAGATTTTTTTATTTCATTATGATTAGGTTTCGTTTTTTAAAAAAATTACTCTGACTGTATAAATAGTGTAAAATTAAATTGAATTTATTAGCCAGTCAGACAAACTTCTGCCTATGACTGACTACTATATAGTTGTTTAGCTAGCTTCACCCAGTTCCGATAAATCCGACCCAAAATTCTGGGGCCCTGCAAAAAACATTAAAATCTACGAAACATAGTTTAGCGTAAGTTTAGTGCTCTCTACATATTTAGAGATGATCGGCAAATTCTTTCGATTAAGTCTTTGACGATCGGTGATTATCATTTAATCTGCCCGATAAAAAATTCGATGAAAAATTACAAAATATTTAGCATTGAGGCCTTTAAATTTACATTGGGTCACTAATTTTTGTGCCTAAATCATTGTTTGTTATTGCATTTTTGATTTTACAGATGTATGTGCTCATTTATGAGTTTTTTTTTATTGAACGATGAATAAGTCACGCGGACCAATCAACTCCAAGACTTTGCGTACAAAAGACATTCATTTCTGGTACCCACCTTTTAAAGTATTGTTCGGGGTGCTACACAAGGTCACGATGAAGGATAACCCAATCATATGCTAAGAATCGCACACACCATTTCACTCTTAAGTAAACCATACCCTCCGTATTTCATACTCCGTTCCTGGTATACCCTTATAAAGAGCTTTTCATTGTATCTAGCACTATATTCATTACTTCCCCGTTTCGCGCAACTGCGTTGCGCAGCTACTTATTATCTAATCGATTAATTAAGTAAATATACTATATTCAAATTAATGGGTCAAATTATGCTTTCGCATATGCGATGCTAAAAATTGACCTATTATGCGCATCGCATCGCATAAAACTGAGGTCCCTAGTCCAATAACAACACTACTCTAGAATGTTGTTTTCCGGAGTATTATTTAAGAGAACTCCTGAGTGTTATTTTAAGAGTTACTAAAAATAAGAGATGTAGTCATTCAATATATATTTTGAAGTTACGCTTAGAACTAAATTAGGTATGTTACTCTCCATTTAAATTAATCTAATCATTACGTTAAGACGTGCCAGAGGTAATTGTGTATATATTTGCGTTACCGTTACTCAAGCATACAAACATACAGTATCTCATAGAAGAGTTTCTCTAATATAAGCACTTATCTAACATTTTGCTTTAATCGTAACATTTATTCCGGCCATTCCGATATATTGTATTAACTCTATAGAAAGGTTAGTTTTTAAAATTTCTCCTTAGCATAATAATTTCTAACATTAAAATAAGTTTAAATAATTCAATAAGTGTAAGTGCGATTTTTTGATCTCTTGAACCGTACATACACTCTGTATATATATACTATAACTATCCAATTTGTATACAGTTGCATCTTTATAGCTTACGTATATTGTTCATAAAAGAATTTTCTTGTATACTATTCTCCAATTATTATTATGGAATTTGCATATGAACCAGCTAACGAAGACGTACGTGTAGTTGTCGGTGTAGGTGAGGATATATTATATATTAGTTTAATTCGAATTTTCAAATAACGCATTTTCTAAACCGACTTATTTTAAAAAATTATTAGATTTTGGTACTACATATTCAGGTCAGTAAACTTTAGAATCGCTAAAGTTATGTTTTTGTTATTTTTATTAATGTTTGAATTTCCGATTTTGTAGGATTTGCATATGCTTATATTCAAGAAAATAAGGAAAGAATTGAAATTGTAGTAAATGATGAATGGGGAAATTTTAAAAGTCCAAATAAAACTAATACTGCATTACAATATGACGAGACTAATAGAGTTGTTGTTAATTGGGGTGCTGGCGCATTAAGTTCTGAGCCCAAAAAACGAAAAAGATTTAATTTACCAAAGCCAATAGAATATTTCAAATTTTATTTGGGTGATGATCTTCCTGAAAATAAAAAACCAAAACTACCGCAAGAAATTACTTTTGAAAAGGCTATATCTGACTTTCTTCGTGAAATGGGTAAGTAATAATCTAAGAGGAAATTATATATTAAAAACAAATCCGTAAATTTTATATTGAAAACTGATTTCAAAATTACATTTAGGCAAGGTATGACGACAAAAATGACATTATAATATTATAAATTTATAACCTTTGTTATTACTGTTAAACGATAGACTATGAAAGAAAAAATAGAAAATCATTGGCCTGGAATAGATTTTTACAAACACGTATTACTTGTTTTTTCTGTGCCAGCTGGTAATTATCATATTTTTTGAATGAATACTGCATAAAATTACGGATATATAGATTAAATATAAATTATATTAATTGGTTATTTAAGAATTCAACGAAATGGTTAGAGTTATTATGAGAAGATGCATATATAATGCCGGATTAATTAGATCTCTTGGCACTTTAAATCTTCAATTTACCACTGAACGTAAGCAATTTCTTTTATTTTCGCGCAATATTTGTAAAATATTAATTTATAATTTTCTAAATTATTAGCGGAAGCTGCTTCAATATATTGCATCAATAAATTAAAAGAGCTTAATATGAAAGAAGGAGGTACAATTAGTTACTAAAATATTTTTGTTTTGTTTGTACAAATTATTAAAATGCGTTAAACAAATACACCACTATTTATTTATATACATAGTAACTTATTTGGTTGTTGATTGTGGCGGAGGGACTGTAGATTTAACAGTCAGAAGATTATTAAATGGTGGTCGAATAGCAGAAACGACAGAACG